GGTTTCCCTTGTTTTTTGTTTTCATTTTTCTTAGATTTAAAAAGAAAATCTGAATTTGAAAAAATGTTCGTTTGACCAAACCCCCACCCCCTTTATCACATAATGTTTAGGGGGAATAGATGCCGTAAACCCGTACCGTAAACGGTTTTTTTTCTTTTTCTCCTCACGCTTCTTCTTCCTCGAGATGCACGCATGCACGGACTCGAACTCCGGCTAGCCCGAACGGCGCCACTCCAGCATGCCGCCTGATGTGGCCCACTACCTGCTCCGGCGACACTTCGGCCCGGTGCATGCTCCGGCCGGCCGTTGGCAAGCTCCTCCGCCTCCTTGCTGCTCATGAGCACGTCGCCAGGCCCCCTGCTCCGGCGTTACCGGTTTACAGGATGCTCCGGCATTGACCGGTTTACAGGATCCTCAAGTGGCTGAAATCCACTAGATATAAAGGATTGGGGCTCGAATATAAGGGAGCATGTGATTTTTTTTTAGGGACATGCTCTTTTATGGGATCTATTCGGGACGGTTTTCCCGGCTTGTACCGTAAATACCAAGGTTTGACGGCTTTTACGGGATCTGCTAGAGATGCTCTAAGTGTGACTTTCCATTCACCAATTTGTTTCTTTGACCCATACTATTAGATTTGGATGCAACAAAGTTGACACGATACTTCTTTTGACCGCACGGGCTCCATGTTCCTTTTCGCGTCAGGTCTGTTGTGTCAGCAGGTGTGAGGCAGAGACCGTCATGGTAAAATTCCGCGGGTGGCGCTTCGCGCCATCAAAGTTAAAACAATCAAGATGGAATGCGAGCGATAAAATATGTCTGAACATGGGTGCTCCAAATTTCAAGGGCCCACAACAATCATCAAAATTACTGTACCCTTTGAAAATGGCAGCCATGGAACGAGATTCCTGGGTACCTTCAAGGCGCTCCAAACCTCTTTGCCGGCAAATGCACGAGAGGTCACATGGAGTCTCCGTGCTCAGGGCCAATCGCGCCCATTGTGCAAGTAGATGAGCCACAGTTCTCTTGGATCATTCTTCTATTATTGGCTCCTAAACTGTAATTCCAACTGAAGTTAGATACAGTCCATTGCGAACAAAAATCTTGATAACACATGTGATGTTCTTGAATGACAGCTGCAATATTATCACTTTTTATGTGGAGTATTCTACTGTAAGTAATACAGACCAACAGAAAGTTACAGGCACCACAGCACTAGATTTTTTTTTTGAAGAAAAGACAGCCTTTCACTGATGAAGGTAGAAGCGAATCAAAAGGAACAGAAACATTTGAAGCGCAAATCTGTGGTAATAAGCAAAACTTACTTTTCCCCATTTATCTAAAGATGAAATGCATGACACTTACAGGGGTTAGACTTCTAGCTAGCAAAAGCAGACCGAATCCTCCACACCACATTCCAGTTGGACCAAAAGACAGCTTCAGTAATACTCCCTCCGTTCCTAAATATAAGTCTTTGTAGGGATTCCATTAGGTGGACTACATACGAAGCAGAATGAATGAATCTAAACTTAAAATGCATCTATATACATCCGTATGTGGTTCATAATGAAATCTCTACAAAGACTTACATTTAGGAACGGAGGGAGTACAAACAAAGGCAAGAGTAAAATGGGTTGGGGTCATCCCACATTCCAGTAGAAGCAAGGAAACATACCCCCACCATGTTTCCATTGGATTTCCCAAATTCAATTCTGGAGTCAAAGCATCAAATCCAGCTCGATGCATAGTTTAAGTACACCGAGTAGTTGGCAAGCACCGATCACAATTAAATCTTCGGGACCGGAGAGTATTCCATTCCGTGCGGAAAGAAGCCTGTCCAAAACACAGTGAGGCTATTAATGCGACGGCATTACGCAAAGCTCCAGTGCTCCCTTCCTACCATCTACCAACATGAGGCAGCTAGCAAGAAATTCAGATGGAGAATTGGGTTAAAACAGGCTCTAAAAATACTCACAGTGGGAGCTTGCTCATGCTAAACTTCAGAGCCGGTGAGCAGATCACCGTCATGCCTGGCTAGCTGGACGAATTGAAGCCATTAATTCATAGCCAACTACTAACAGTGTGATGAACATACACAGGTCCATGCATGCAATGGAATCAACGCAACTGTCGAGTGCCACTCTCGTGTATAAATAGGCATCCAGAGACCCTTCAGTTCATCAACTCAAGCATCTCCACCAGTTCAGTTCAGTTCAGTTGCTTATTCTGTCCTGTCTGCACACACTGAGAGCAAGATGGGTGGCAAGGTTCTTCTGATCAGTTCTGTCTTGGTGGGGCTTGTTTCACTGAGCTCGTGCAGGAGCCTGGGAGAGTTGCATGAGCAGAAGACCCACTGTATGTTTTAACCCCATCCCTTCTGTGTAGCACTGTATTTATTAGTACTGTACTTCATAGAGTAACACTGCACTGCATCTATTACAGCGATCCGTGGTTAAGCAGATCACAGCATACTGCATCTACCTAGCTAATGCAAATATGAAATGAATTTGTGCTGAACATAAACAGCATCCTTTCTAGACAATAAGGACTGAGAACAATGCAAAGCAACTTCATGCTATCTAGATTTCACGGCACTGATAGCTGCAATTCTGTATACCGTACCAGATGGGGGCTCACCAACTCCTACGCATGGGTCAGGAGGAGGCTACAACCCGACACCTACACCAACTTACGGCACTACACCAACACCAACTTACGGCACTACACCGACGCCATCTTACGGCACTACACCGACGCCATCTTACGGCACTACACCGACGCCATCTTATGGCACTACGCCGACGCCATCTTACGGCACTACACCGAGCACCCCAAGTACACCTTCCCATGATGTCCCTGCAAGTCCAAAGAAGCATGGATTCATTGGATCCTGCGAGTAAGAGCTACAATTAGTAGATATGAGAAGTATCAAACATCACAAAGCAACGGTTCTTAAATGGTTTTCTTTTGCTTAAAATGCAGCTACTGGAAGAATCACCCAGATGCTATAGTTGCAGCTATTGGGTCCCTTGGCAACATCGGCAAGACATTTGGTGCTGCATGCAGTATGATAGGTGGCAAGAAGCTAGGAAATATGCATGATGCACTCTCAAACACTAGAACTGATGGTATTGGCGCCCTGATACGTGAGGGGGCAGCTGCATACCTCAACTCCATTGTGAACAAGAAGTTCCCATTTACCACCCAGCAGGTAAAGAACTGCATCATCGTGGCCGTGACCTCTGATGGTGCTGCTTCTGCCCAAGCTGGGGTCTTCAAGAAGGCAAATGAATCCCACTACTAGTTTTAGTCATGGGTGTTTCTTGGCTAAATCTTCCTACCGCGCATTTTTCTTGATTGATGCTATCTTGTGGCTTGATATATTTCTCGTATTTTTGTTGATTTATCATGTAATATCACTATCTAAGAGATTCCGAGTGTAATAAATCCATCTCTTTCCATTGCTTGATATCAATATTATTATACTGAATTAATAACAGACAGAAAAAACTACGTACTCCGAACACCACAAAAGAGCAATAATAAATCAAACATCAGACTAGTGCTACTCAGTTTACAACACAGAAGTTTATAATGTCAGCTGTTTAGGGCATGTTTGGTTGTATAGGAAGGGCCTGTTCGGAGTCCCTTCACTCCACGACTCCGCTCCCGGAGCAGGCGGAGCTGCAGCTGAAAATCGCGGAGCGAGTAAACAGGTGCTCCGCAGATCCTGGGATTTCGTGGAGCTGGTGGATTGCCGAACAGCTCCGAAATATCACCATTTCACCACACCTACTTGTGGCCTTGCCCTTGTGGCAAATTGTGACAAGCTAACACTTTATATTGCTAACAAACTGTTTGCCACACCATAGGCAAGTTTTGGCAAAACATTGGGTCTAGGACAGGTGCTCTACATAGCAAAAACTATGGCATGACAAAACTGTATTGGAATGGCCAAACTTGCCTAGCAAAGTTTTCGCAAATTGACAAAGCAGTCTAACAAATGCCACAAAATTAGTTATTCTTAGATTGCATAGTTAAAGACCTATGAACCTTGTTCTTGAATCCCAGAAAAACCTGTAACAAAAGTATATGTTCCCCTGATATCCTGAATTTTGTAGTTCAACCTTTGAATCTTGCTCTTGTACCCCAAAAATCCTATGACAAAAGCAAATGTTGCCGATGGGTCAGAGAAACAAGTGTAATTGTCCAGAAGTTTGGATAACTCATCGAACAACTAGTCGATATAACAGAACTTCACATAAAACAAGGGATTAGTGTTTGATACCAAATAAACCCAAGAACTTCCAAGATGAGTTGAAGCTTTCCCTTCAGTACTTCTCCAAAAGAGTCAACCTGGATGTGAAATGAAAGCTAAAGTGTTAATTTACTCTAGAAAAAATTGTATTCAAACCTCACTTGAAGTCAGTCAACATTTTGGTGTTTTCCATTAATTATGACTTATGAGCTCTAAGTTTTGCATTTGATGTGCTGTGTGCATCATGTCTGATTCAGAATAGTTGAAAATGCCAAGCATGACAGAGTAAGAATATCGTGGAATCAGTAATGTCATGTTAATCACAGTTGAGAACTACTATTTCTGATAACATTAACTCTTGGAGAAAAAACTTCAGGCCTTCTTATTCTGCTTCACAGGATTTAACCTGTTGATTCTAAACATAGAACATTTACTATGTCAGTAACTCGACAGTATCATGGCCGTTTTAATGGGCAAAGAAGTCAATCTGCATATGTCCAAATTGTTAGCAAACACTAAAATGATTATGAATGTTAACAAAAAGCGCCATTGCGTCACCAATCATCCTCACACCGGGACTTTTTTTCTAATTGACCCATTTTCAGTGTTACAAAACCGATTTCCCTGCAAAAGAGTAGCCCTCGTATATTGAACAGAAGGATGATCAGTTTCTCCTCTTTCACCGAAGCACCTTTCAATACAAATACTTATCCACCATTCCAGTACACACGGAATCATACATGAGGACAAATGGGGGGGGGGGGGGGAGGGGGGGGGCTTCCCCACCTGAATATATTACCACTCAATCAGGGCTTACAAGAAATATTACAACACCCACATCAATCATCATGTAGAGGGGAGTCTAGAGGATGGGTAAACTAGCCACTGCCTAGCAGAGTCTCTCAGAAACAAATATCGCTACTTGAGTAAAGGTAAGGTTGGGTGAGAGCCTGAGAGGTAACTAATAATATCTGAATGTCGAGTTAAATGGATGAATTTAGTAGTAGCATTCATATTTATTGTTTATTATTGTAGATACATAATTGCATATAGCTATTCATAAGTGATTTCAAACACTTCTTTGCAGATTCGGTGCTCTGTGCTCAACTGCTGATTGATTATTTATCAATGAATTGACATTATCCACTTACATACAGGATAATACTGCAAGTAACGGAGTACCTAGATATAAAAAAGACCTGCAATGATCATTTCTCTGGATGTCCTACTTTGAACACCAAATAGTTGTAAGAAAATTGACTATCAGTTTTTCTAGTGACTGACTGATAGGAATGCAGGTCGACATGTCCACCGAGTCCGTGTTGATCATTTCAGCATTAGCACGAAAATTACAGCAGCAGAGATTAGTACATCTTGGTCCAGCGCAGACAGACACGGACACGACGGGCATGTCCACCAGCATCCCTACTGATTAAGCATGGTTATGTTTTAGTTATATTCTTACAAAAGAAATGTTATCCTACTCAACACAGAAGAGATATACTGTCAGTTAGTCAGAACCTGACACTATGACAAGATATCCAAGTGGAGTTGGAAAAATGTGGCTGCACAAAAAAGAACTTTGCTCAGAGAGGATAAATTTATCAAAAGTTATATCATTTTCTACAGTATTAACACATTTCTATGCGATGAGTTACAACAGTAACAACAATGAGGTCAGTTCACTCATTTGCTTGTGACACCAATAAAGCAGTAACCACAATGGCAAAGGAAAACATGACGCTATGAGAAACCATATTCCATAAGTGTCTATGTTAAACTACAAGCTTTGAGGATAAACCTTACAGAATATTGTGCTTTCTTTCCACCTCCCATGAATCATAATGGTGCATCCTCTCAAAACCAGCAACACTCCATGAATCCGACATCAAGTTGGCCAGCTAGAAATTATGTGCCTTCAAATCTTGTGATCCATATGGGAATCGAACCATTTGAAGATCTCTTCATTCTCCAGGCTGGTAAATTCATGGTATGCATATGCAATATTCAACTCCTCCGTGACATGCCTCTCCAGCCGGAACCCCTCCGGCAAGATCTTGGCTTCCTCCGCCGCCTCCTGCCACGGTGTTCTCCTCCCATCCTTCTTCAGAAAACCCTTCTCATCCAAGAACGACTTCTGGCGAAGCACGTCCACAAGGCCATCGGCGACGGTCGGAGTCAACCCCGGGATCCTCGCCGCCAAGAAGTCGGCACTCACGGCAAAGGCATCGCACTGGATCTCCCGTACATCAACGTGCTTTGACTTGAGCTTGTCTATGCTTGACGCCACCATGTGCGCCCTCTTGGCGTCCCTGGGCATGTGCACGAACAGCGCCGGCGGGTAGCCGGGCGGGATTTCCTCCATGGCGGCAAACACGCCCTCGGCGATCATGATGGCCACGCTGCTGAACCTGACCCTCGCCGCCAGCGCGGAGACGAAGTACCCGCCCGACGACGCGCCGATGCCGACGAGCGGGAGGCGGCCGAGCTCGGGGTGCTGCTCCTTGACCCACCATTCGATGATGGAACCGACGGCGGCGAGCTCACTGCCGTCGCCGGAGGCGGCGTCGAGGGACCAGCACTCGGCGCGGCTGGACACAGCGAGGACGGCGTAGCCTCGGCGGAGCGCCTCGCGCGTGAACCGGCGCTCCTCGGGGAGCCCCGCGCAGCGCGGGCAGCCGGGGGAGGCGTCGAAGAAGTCGGTGGCGCGGATGGTGCATCCGGGGGAGACGAACACGGCGGCGCGCGGCGGGCCTGGCGGCAGCTGCCACAGCACCTCGTTGCCGCTCCTGCGTGCGACCCGCGGGTCGAGGCGGATGGCCGGGGTCAGCGGCGGGACGGCGGGAGCGCGCGGGAGGAGGGCGGTGGCGAGGAGGATCAGCGCGCAGGAGGCGATCAGGACGACGGGCCTGCGCCTGCGCGGCTGCGGGAGGGGGTTGTCCATCCTGCGCGCGGTTAACCTCGCGTTAATGGAGATTGAGACGGTTTGGGGCTTCGCGTTGATGGAGAAAGTGACTGAGTTGACTTGCTCTGGACAAAGGGGAACGAAGCTCTGAACAACACTGGGAGGAAGAAACGTCCGTGGGGCTGGGTGTAGAGGAGGCCCATGTGGAAAGTTGGCCCGGCGTCTTAGCCTGGCCCGGAACGACGAGTTTTTTTATTTTATAAGAGTAGCGTAGAAGGAACGACGAGTTTCAACGACAGTTTCTCTTTCCTCGCTGACGGCCGCTCACGGTGGGGCTTTTTCGTCGGACTAGATGATTAGTTGCGCTAAAAAGGCCAAAAGTAAGCCATGTATTGGAAGAGTGTACATTAATATCATTCAGGCACATATTGAAACATATGAAAAGAATTACATTTATTATAAGTACAAGCGATGCAATACCCATATAATGTTCAAAGAAATATCAGTATTAACAAAACCGTTAATTAGTCACAAATCCACACCCGAGAAGCACATTGCACAGGGTTGAAACTTTTAAGCCTCACAATCCCAAGCAATATTAAGGAGGACCAACAGAATTGAAATCACTGACGCAAAGTATCAGCAGTTAGTAATATTTATACACACAACTTCTTTGTTATAGTCATATGATGATGAACTCAGTACGTAAATCAGCACCAAGGATAGTCGATCAGACAAACAAAAATTCTGCATCCCACTGAAAAACACTATTATGCAAGACTAAATTTAAAAGGCCCTCAGTTCTAATTTCTATAAGAGCTTGAAGCTTTGGAGCCAAGGCTACGAACCTTCAAATCCAACCAAACATCTTATCATGCAAACACGGTAAAATGGGAAAGAAAGACTCTAAATGTGACGCACCAAAAGCGGAAGAAAATGTTGAACGATCTGGGCGTGAGGATTGTGCCGGTGACCTAGTGACACCAAGCAGCGCGTGGATGTGGACCAGGATGACGGTGGTGGTGGCGCCCTCCTCGTCGACCTTCAGCAGCTCGCTAGTCTACAATGCTCATACTTTGCATCGAGTAAACCCATCTCACTAAGAACGGGAATGAGCATCGCCCTTTGGCATGCTTTGCCT